TTATTAAATCAAAAATAAATTATTTCATTATTAAATTTAAATTAAATTATAATAAAAAATAAATTAAAGAAATTACATAAAAAATGAGAACTTTTTAAATAGTTGATTTGATATTAATATTGATATATATTTTTTAAATTTATATTTTATTTAAAAATAAAATTATTATTCTTTCTTAAAAACACATAAAATCGTATTATAACATCGACAGAGACAAATAATAAAATAGATAGTTAAAAATCGAGATGTATCTCGATGCATTGTACAAGTACCCTTATAGTAACTTCTTAATGTAAACATATAACTTCTTAAAGTTATATGTTTGAACAATATAAAAATAATTAATAAACAAGCTAAAATATTAAATAAGTGTGGACCATATTGATGATGCTAGATATTCCATAAATTTCGGATTTTACTTTTTTCAATGAAAGATCGCATTAATTTTCAATTATGGGGTTTACAGCAAAAGTTTACATCTTGTTGCATTGCACGGATACACAACCAGTTCTATAAAAAAGTTGTGATAGATTTTGATATATAAAATACGAAAGATCGTGTGAGAAAGAAAGTTATAATGAGAAACATAAGAAAAGATCTCAACACTTGATCACTTTTAGTCTAATACCCATCTATGAATAATTGCATTTTATAAGGGAATAAATTTGGTGCACCACATTAGTGTTGACATTCAATTATAATTGATCCAATGATAAAAATCTCTTATTATGTTTCTGTAATTGAAACCCAACCCAGATAAAAGTTTGTATCCAATAAATTTTACTGGTCAGTCATTACATAAGAGAATAAAATAAAAATAAAAATAAAAATAGAAGACAAGAAAATATGTGGGATAAATGACCCTAATTGTATTGAGAAAAAACACAATCATTCTTTTACTCATGGATCATGTGAATCTCAATCAAGGATGTATTTATGAACAAATGTACAAGTTTTGCTACATAAAGTACAAGTCATTATAACATATTATTTTGATTTTTGAAAAGAGGAAATTAGAAAGAAAAAAAAAACAGTTATAGACAACTTGTCATGTCCACTCCAATCCAGTCTATCGCACCAAACGCTACCGAAGGTTTGGCAATGTGGCACGTCATGGTGTGAGGCGTGTCAATGACGCCACATTAACTCTTGTGTAGCTGCGTAAAACTGATACGTGCCATGGCATCTAGAGATTCATATTATTTTTTTGAAAACATTATTTTACTTTTTATTTTATTTTTAAAAGTTTACTGTATTTTTACTTTTTACGTTGTTATGAGTTTTTAATATAACACTTTTTATAAGCTATATATATGATTTTTCTCCTTTTCATATTTTTAATTAAATCTTCCAATATCAAGTGTAATAATGAAAATACATATATATATATATATATATATATATATATATATAATGTACTATCTTGCTTGTCTTCTTAAACCATTTTTCTCTCATTGTCACGCTACATGTCATTCCAGACCTTTCATAGATAATTAATACAAACATTGTATTTATTATTTTATCCTGCCAAAAAATAAGTGTCCACAATAAAAATGGCATACAACCATAAACATTTAACCTAATGATAATTTTATCTATACTATATTATAAAACATTTGATAAAAATTCTTAAAAACCATTTTTATATACAAAGTATTGTTTATTAATATATATTACTTAAAATTAAATAATGCATAAGTACAACTTATTAAAGCTCAATGTTTGAATTCATGTAACTAACTGCAGATAAATATAATCAAATATTGGATAAACATTTCATTTTAAATATAAAAAATCTAAAATATAATTAGGATAATCACTGTATTATAAAAGAATAATTAAATATTATATTTATAAGAAATTATATTATTAAATCAAAAAATTACTTCGTTATTAAACCTAAATTAAATTATAATAAAAAAAAATAAATTAAAGAAATTACACAATAAACCAATAACTTTTAAATAGTTAATTTGATATTAATATGAATATTTTTTTTACAAGAATTTAAGATATTTTCAAATTTATATTTTATTCAAAAATAAAATCATTATCGTTTTTCTTAAAACAACATAAAATAATATTATAACATCGACAGGAGACTATTTAAAACGAAACATTAAAATCGAGATGTATCTCGTTGTATTGCGCGAGTACCCTTCTAGTTGATAACTAATGCATTTGTCTTATCAACTTTTAAATATTTGTATATTGATTAAGGGTAAAATTGGAATTTTAGTTATTTGCTTACGTGGATTAGATATCATCATTATTACGTGGATTAATAATTCCTTTAGATATCATGTTTAAAAGAAGTTGCAATGAGTTTGGTAGTGTTACATTCTCTCGCAAGGTCAAAAAAGATTTGGTTGACCTGCTAATACAATTTTAAATCTATTTTACAATTTTATAAAAAATTAATATTTTAAATAAATTAAAAGATATTAATAAAAACGTTATAAATATTAAAATACTTTTTCATTAACTATAAGGGTATTCGTGCAATGTAGCGAGATAAATTTTCATTTTAAATTTTTAATGTTTAATTTTTATTCTTTGTCTCTATCGATATAATACGATTTTATATGGTTT